CCCAAAATAAATAAATAAATAAATAACTATTCTTTCTTGATATTTTTTTCCAACTAACAGCTGTTTCAAAATTTTCTATTCATATACAAACAAATACACACACACACATATATATACTTCCTCCGTCCCATATTAGTTGTCCAATTCGAAAATTTTGACTCATTATCACTTTTTATTTTTGAATCATTGGAAATCATTTTTAGTCATATTCCTTTTATATACTGATATACTACCTATATCCCATATTAGATGTCTACTTCGATAACTTTGACTCACAAAAATCTTAAATCAAAGTTTTTTAGAAGGACAACTATTATGGAAGTATTATTTTATCTCTATTCTCTTCTCTTTTTGGGGGTGGGTGAGAATATTTTTCTTTTTCCTTTTTATTTTTCCTACTAGACTTTGAAAATGAACTAATTGAATAAAAAGAAAGGAGGAAACAAGGCGAAATAGGGAATTGATATCTACTCTTTAGAGTGAAAGCCGTTTGCTTAGTAAAATTTGCTAAAAACAATTTTATCTTGATACTTTTCGATTAATATGATTTAGACAGTTGGTCAATATGATTTGATTATAATTTGATGAGGTTGAATTGTACACACACATATGAACTTGCTAGGCAAATTTCTAAATCTTCATAAAAATTGCAAGTTGAATTTCATGTTGTGATTGCATGCTTGACAATTGATTTGATTGAATAATTTGTGATGTCTAAAAATTTCGTGCTTTAAATTCTCTTAAATTCTTCATAATTTTTTTGATCCCATGTATGCTTGAAATTCATGAAAATTGCTATCTCATAATTTTTGTTCAAATATCAGAAAAATTAAAAAATTAAGAAATGAAAAAATATATAAAAAGATTTTCCTTTTAGTTTTTATTAGGAATATTCATTTTTGACTGGATGGAGATATCATGTGTATGATTTTGAGCATGATTGGCTATCTTTATCTTGTGAATGGAACATGTGTTATTTTAGATATTTCTCTTAGGTTCCATTGCTACTATATATCATCATGTTTTTATGCTTATTATTATATCATATGCATGGATCGATGATAGTTTTGATCTCTCTTCTTGTTAATTCTCTCTTATTATTTCTTTTCCTTCCTTGTTAAGCTTTGTTTGTCGATTTTTAATAAAAATGGGGAGAAGTGTGCATAATTAAGGGGGAGAATTTCTATAATTGGGGGGAGACATATATATATTGATATTCACATATTGATATATGTTGATTGTTTATCTTTCTTAATTAAGTTTCACGGGTAATTTTGTTGAGTTGATATGCAGATTACAGAGTGAGAAAACTACAATTGGTGAAGCTTCATACTGTCTATTTTTGAACAATCAATGTAATTTACTTTTTCTGCTTAGGTAAATTACTTGTTGTCTTAGGGGCTTTGTCACGAAATTGCCAAAAAGGGAGATTGTAAGACATAAATTTGTAGTTGGTAAATTTCGCTGCCAAAACAAGTCCGATCGAATTGTAAAATTTCGGTTAAGCATTTCAAGATTGAAGATCGGAAGCGGATTTGAAGAAATTGAAGTGTTCATACTTTAATACACTCCCGGATGATGAGAACAATGCTTTAGAAAGGTATGTGAGTGTGTGAGGAAGTTTTGGAAATTTGAAATTTTTAGGAAGTTTAAATTTTGCTCATCTTAAACTTGTAGGAGAATATTCGAACAGGTTCAACTTAAACTGGTAGAAGAATCAAGGAACAGGTTCAACTTTTGAAGCTTTATAATTTTTCTCTTTTGTCCATTGGAAACCCATAGCCAATCTCTAAAGGAATCTTCTCTGGTTATCTTGAACCGGTAGCCAATTCCTGAACCGGTTCAAGACTGCTAAATTGTTTAGGTAATTTCAATTTCTTGATCTGTTTTGATTCCCTTTTGGTCTAGACTTCCTTCCAAAATCCTATGTACGAAATTGACTTGTTTTCCTAGTACAATTAGGTTTTCAAAAATCTATAAAAACATGTTTTCTCAATTAGGATTTCACGATTTTTTGCGTACAAAATTTTGATTTAATTCAGAGCTATCTTTGTAGATTTTTATTCAGAAAATCAATCTAATTTTTCTGATTTTATTTTTGAGAGCACATACATAAACACAAGAGTGATTCAAGAGTTTTGTTCTCTATCTCATCAGAATTGGAGCATAATTGAAGATTCAAAGATTCCGAAAAGCATATTTATTTGTTCTTCATCAAATTCAGACCTTGAAGAAAAGGGGTGAAGCGATCACATTTTGAAATGGTCAAAGCATTCGTGGAGTGTTGTTTGATCTACCTACAACTCTTCTATAGAGATCAAGAGTAAGTCTGAGGCCGAGAGCTGTTGGACGGGGAATTCGCAAAGTCAGGGATTGTCAGTGATTGGTTTTTGGTAGAACGATAAGGTGTGAGTTTGAGTCAAAGTTCAAACATACTGGATCGTTTTGCGCTGAACTGCACAGTTCACGAGGTTTTTTCTATAACAATATATTGATTTATTCTGTCAATTGGGGATTCCTTGCTAAAAATCCTTGTATCATCTCTCAAACTTTATTTGTTTTACCTGCACTTTATTTTTGCCTTGTAGGGTTTGATTTTAGTTTTATTTCGGTAAAATTAAAATAAGTAAAAATTAGTTAAAAGAGTAAGTAAAACATATTTACCCCCTCTTAATTATTTATCCATATTATATTTCACAAACATTTTGATGTTTGCAACTCACATAAGGTCGAACACTTAACATTGATTCCTTTGAGTTACTAACAGAAATTTTATTTTATCATTTTCTTTTTGAAGAATAAAAGAAATAAACTATCAAACATTTAGTTCCAGTGCTATCTCTTATTAATTTTATTAAAGCTTCATTATTATTATTTTTTTTTTTGGGTAAATCATGACACTGTCCGACCCTTAGAGCACTCCATGACTAGACAGTCATTTCCTCCTACATGCATCAAACACTTTTAAAAAAAAAAATTGAAGATAACTCCAAGAAACTTCAAAATCTCGATCTGCAAAATAATGTGAAATTTCCTTGAATTCTTTATTAAGGTTTTAGAGACCACTTGAGAGCCACTACAAATGATACATTTCAAATGTCCAATATATAGCAGATTTTTTTTTTTTTTTTTTTTTTCCAAAATGCATATTTAAGAAAGGGCAAAAAAAAAATGTTAACGTACGACGATATATTAGAAAAATAATGGTTTGGCTATTATGTATAGTACCGCATTGAAATCCCAATGAGCAACCTAAAAAAATATGTCTCAATGACCACGTGGAGAATTGTCCATGTTTGAATATTAATTATAAAAAGTGGAATAATGTTTTTGAAATTAACGAAGAATAACACGTGATCTTTCAAATTGCATGCATGGATAAATAGGATAGTTCGTAGTACAAACTATGAAAGAACTACGAAAACCAATAATAAGAATAAATAATATGCACTGTTAACGTAGGAGTTACTGAAGCTCAGTTTCTCTCATGCCCATATATATATATGTATATAAACCATAAACCATAAATCAATCCAAAAAACAGTCGCCGAGAGTTCAAAAACCTCTGATCTATACAAATATATATATATATTCAGCTCTGTTGCAAAAATGTATGCAACCACCATCCCAGAATCTGACTCCGCCGTTCTCGAATCGATACGGCAGCATCTTCTCGACGATTCAGACATTTCTACAATTTTTCCGGCAATAAGTTCTTGCAATGCACCCAGTTATTGCCCGAGTTTGAGTCGCTTATTGCCGGAAAATATGGGAGAGATGATGTTGAGTGTGGATTATTTGCAAGATAGCGTGATTAATTTGGAGGGTGAGAATGCAATGGTGGAACCTGTGTTGGAGCGTGATGGTCAAGCGCCACCTGAGCGCAGACGATATAGGGGTGTGAGGAGGCGGCCGTGGGGGAAGTTCGCGGCGGAGATAAGGGACCCGGAAAGGAAAGGCAAGAGGATGTGGCTGGGGACTTATGAGACGGCTGAGGATGCAGCTCGAGCTTATGACTTGGCTGCTTTTAAACTGCGCGGCTCGCGTGCTTTGCTCAATTTTCCACACCTTGTCGGCTCCAATAACTTGGAGCCTGTTAGGGTGACTTTGAAACGGCGTTCACCCAAGCCGGAATCGTCATCTTCAACCTTGGAAAATGGCTTTCAGAAGTACAAGTTGACCAATTTTCAGAGAAGTTTCTGATTTTAGCTTTACTGGTTTAGGTGTAATGAGGAATTTTTTTTTTTTTTTTTTTTTAACTTTTTTTTTTGGGGGGTAGGACCGTAGGGGTGATATTACTTCAAGTTGCCATGAAATCCATCCTTCTAACTTTCAATAATTTGTAAATAAAATTGAAAAAACGAAGGATTTTTTTTTTTTTTTTTTTTTTCGGTTGCTGATAATATTGTCCCCATAATTATCTTTTCCAATGAAGGCGTTGAATCTAAGACTCTAGAGGTCTATTTGGCGTTCTTGTTAGAATGAAAAAATTGTTTTTGTTAGTAGAACCGTTTAAAAAATAATAATAAAAAAAAAGGAGGGTAAAAAGCATGCTTAGTTGTTGAATCTAAGAACTTTTAGATTTTGAACGTAAAAATGAACATCTAATACACAGTGATGTCAAAAAATAAGCAAAACCATAACCAAGTGATGCCCTTCTCTACGAGAGAGAATCTTATGAACATGCTGCAATTTGATTTATTTATGGTTTAATTTTTTTGGATTCAGAATCTAACAAAACATGAAATAAATTTTGATGATCCTACACCATAGGCCACCGTCATGGTTCAATCCAATCAAAACACATGTTCAAATTTCTTTGTAATTATCTCATTAAACTTTCTTAGTTGAAGAATTTTGATTGGCCTCAAGCGGACCATCTAATAATTACTCCCATCGCAAAGCAAACTAAATTGCATGAAAAAATAAAAAAACACACGCGCGCACACACAAGAAGAGAGGTGGCCAGGTTAAATCATTCGCATTACAACCCCATCAAATTTGAGGAATGAAGCAATTTAGATCCCCATAACACCTATTTTTATAATTGAAGAGAGTGGGATGAAGTGCAACATCATGAAACACAAATTTAACACTCTTGTGCATTGACTTGGTAAAAAGATTTAGCCACGTCTCACGATAAAAAAGCACATCATCTGATATACTCCAAGCTGACTCAAAAGGAATGACAATTGGGTTTAATACAAACTCACAATGTCAAAAATTCAAGCCTAAAATTGGCAGACAAATCAATTTAAAATAGATTAAAATCTCCAAAACCGGCAATCTGTTTTTTTTCCAGAACGCCATGAGCAAAACTGGCTAGTTGACTGACGAAGCATCCTAAGGATCCCACTCTACATCTCTTCAAACTATTGGGATGTCACCTCCTGCAATTTCCCAAATTATTCAACATAAAGCAAATCAGAACTGATCTTTGCTATCAGAGAGAGAGAGAGAGAGAGAGGCATAACCACCAACGGCTATAATTTAATGGTACTTCCTCACCTTCCTAGTAGAAAGCCGAGAGTTGAAGTCTTTGGAGCAAAGTGGGTGTATTTTAAACTAGGGAAAAAAAAAAAAAAAAGGGAGTAAGAGAAGCATCTCAATTCAGTTTTACATCCCCAAGTTCCAAGTTTAATTAGTTTTTTCCCTTTAAAAGTTCAAATACTTTTGGGTTTCTTCATATGATGTAGATTTTTTTCTGAAAGGTTAAAAGCACATCCTCATCCATAAAATTAATTTAGGGGAAGGAAAAAGACTGCAATTATGGATGCGCGTAAATGATGGAGTAGTTTGGGAGTCACAGCTACCAAACTATAAAAAATTGCATAGAATGCATGCCACATCTTCTTGGCATCTATGGTAGGGGATAGCCTAATTAGTGGCTAATAGACCAGGGAAATAAACACATTATCACGTGTATCATATTGACAAAAAAGTAAGCGTTGACCAAAAATTTCTTGGCTGTACAATCAAAAACTTAGTGCATTACCTCTTGTCGGCTTTCCTCATAACCATCACTCCAACTAGTTCATAGCAGATCTCCTCATGACCTCGGAAGCTGTCAGCCTGCTTACAGTGTGTAACTTCTGCTACAAAGTAAGTAAGATGCATTGATCACATATCCCGGTAATTTGATAAAAGACTCATTTGACATCTCCAATTCCACAAAGGAAAATGCTTCTCAAACAACCCAACTAACCAACACGAAGAGAGAGTGAAATAGGAATTGATGAAATGACATCACGTGGGAATCACATGAATATGGCTATTGGTAATTTTTCTTTCATATTGTTTAGTCAGCCTACTTTTTCAGCTTGAGTAGCATTACTCTTCTGCAAATCATAGCCACTGAAATTCAAATGAAATGGGTCATGATCTACCAGTTGGTCACATCCAGCCAACCTCGTTTTCTAAAAAATGCATCAGAGAAAGTAGTTTTAAGGTGAAAACCTTCCCCCCACCCCCAAAAAATAGTTAAAAATCTATTATTTCTCACCTGTTTATGCATGCACACTGACACATGTTGGACGTCACAAATATGAGATTGTTCATGCTGTTTAAAATAAAACTAACTTTATCTCATATCCCAGACACAGGACAGGGACAGGATCAAAATTCTACAAACCAACACTACATATGCTAAAAAAGCAAGACATGGACATGTTGACAGCACAGTGAAATATATTTTTAGACATATATGTCTCTTGTATGAGAGGGACATAAATTTGATTGACTTATTCAATTTTTTACAATAACTGCATAACTCACGATTATGAAGTTCCACAAATATTATACACAATTTTTTACACATGATCCTACTTTTTCCACCTTACTATATGCCCCTTCATTTTACAACAATAGCTTTACCAATATCAAATAGTGTTTGTTGCTTCATGCATGTTAGACTTTCTTTGGCTATGAATCTATGATACACTATTAATTTTTTGTCGTCTTAATTTTTTTAGGCCAAATGGATCATGTCTAGCATGTTTCCATGAGAGCTGAGGTGTGTCTAGTCCGGCACAGTGTCCACAATCACGGCTTTCCTTACGAAGCATCCTTACTACATTAATGCACATTCTGAACCCTGTATCCTCTGCCATGTAATTGCATCATTTAAAATTATTTAACTGTTCTTTCTAGTAAGACTTATTCTTTTTGCCCTTACAACCACGTTTCTTCTTTATAACTTCAACCACGTTTCTTCTTTTTGCCCTTACCATGTAATGACATCATTTAGAATTATGAGACTTGCTCTTTTTGCCCTTACAACCACATTTCTTCTTTATAACTTCAAGTGAGAAAAATGACCATACCTTTGAATGCCTTGTAAAGGGTCTACTTTTGTCATAACCCTAACACCCAGACCAAGATATGCACTCAAAATATTGACTGATACTGATTTCTGGCAAGGGACAACAGAGCAACATTAACAAAGAAGAGAAAATTTGATTTAACTGACCTTGTGGGAGAGCGACATTTTTACTTCTTCCATTCTGTCTTCAGCATCCTTTCTGTGTTTCTTGTCCAACTCAGTCATGGTATCTGCCCATTTTATCTTCTCTTGAATTGAGATAAGTACATTTTCTGATGTAGCCATCCTATGTTTTCAATTAAAATGAATATTAAATAGAAGACACATAGAACTATCTTCAAAACACACTCCAAAAATTGAGACTTGCACAAGCAGAATACAAAGCAAGGTTTTCTGTTTAGAATGTAATTTTTTGGCGTTTACCAGATTTATAAAAGAATGGCAACATTGCTTGAAAACTTGAACCTCCAAATAGTATATGATGAAGGTTAAAATATTGTCAAGGGTCATGAAAGGCACTCATTCACAGAACAAGAAGAAGATGGAGTCAGAGCAATACAGAATGACAAAGTTTTGGGACATACTCTGTGTTTGAATTGGATGGATGCCAATGCAAGGACAAATTTGTCAATTACATAAGAACAGAGGTCTCTTGGCCTGATCCCTTCCGTTGATGATTAATGTTTAAACAAACCAATCTATATTATAGCCTTCACCTACCTACATGTCTGATAATTGCAGCTTGCTTGCACTAATGATCTGAAAACCAAATTGACTTCAAAACAAACACATGAACCCTGTCAGCCAAATAGGATTCCAGCTTTCTTCGCTGCCTTCCTTTTGCAAGCATGTATTAATTTTCTTTTCTCACCCCCACCACCACCCCCCCCCCCCCCCCCCCCCCCGGAAAAAAAAATCTTTTTAGGGACTGGGTAAGTAGAGAACTTGAGGGTTTTCAGCTTATTGGATATGCCGCCTTGTAGAAATGCACCTATATATACTATAGCATCATCAACATTTCTATATGAGGAAATTTATCAATGAGTATTTCAAATATTGATGATTATCGAAGAAGGCTAGCACTAACATGTTAAACCAATTGACTTTGCACATCTTTGCAAATTAACCTTTCTACATCAGTAAACATGCCCAAACGTACCATCTTCCAGGCTTTAAAAAGATCTAGGAGCAATGCTGAATAGTGAATATAAAACTTCCAACTGAGCAGTGCACAAAAATAACTTAGCCCAGTTAAAGTGATACATATATGCAAATTAAATAACAGAGAAAAAAAAAAAAAAAAAAAAAAAACAATTCAACAGTAAATGAAATACTTCACCCACTAAAAGCAATCCACATTTAAAAGAAAAAGAGAACAGTATTTCAGTTAGCATAACACTTCCTAACAAAGAACCAAAAACTAAACTTACACTAAATAATTTGAAACAAAAGTTATGGCGTCCAGTGACTGCTACACCCTGAATTCTTTTTTATAAATAAATAAAAAAAAATAAAAAAAAGCTTACAAAAAAGTTTCTCAAATAAATTGAAACACTATAGTATATGTTTTAGAGTTTTGGCCATCTTTGAATTTAGAAAAAGATGCACACCACTTCAGAATAAATGATGATATACTAAATACTGGAGAAATGCATTTATGAAAAAGAAAAAAAAAACTGGAGAAATTAGAAACATACATGAATTTCTAAACATTAACGAGAGAGAGAGAGACTCAGATAGGAATCTTACTGCACCGTGAAGTAGAGAAGTAGCCATTCACCAACAGGCCAGTGGCCTAGCGGTACCAAGCCCCTACTTCCCAAAGGGAGGTCAGGGGTTCAAGCCTCGGTGGAGGCATGTGTGGGTGAGTACCAACTAAGAAAAATAAAAATAAAAATAAAAATAGAGAAGTATCCAGTCATGGAATAATAATTAAAGGACAGCCACAGAACCTTTTACAATCGAAGATTAACAAGTAATACTCCCTCCGTCTCATATTAGTTGTTCACTTTTGCTATTATAACTTTTTAAGGGGACATGCAATTAATGCATTGGTCCCTTTTTAAAATTTCCCAGTTGTTAGGTATATTTCTAAGTTGAGAGATTTTTGAAAACTTAAAAGGTAATTATGGAAAGAATGCATTTATTTTGCTTTCACTTTTCAAATGAGACAACTAATTTAGGACATCTAAAAGGAAAGAGGGACGACTAATATGGGATGGAGGGAGTATGAGATAATGACCTCCAGTGATGAAATCCATGTAGTACTCTGAGTTCATATAAATAACACAAGTACACAACTAATACAATTATTATTATCTTACTCTCACAAAAATGAAGATCATACACCTACCACTTCTTCATTCTCTTAGTGCAAACTTTTGACAAGACATTCTACAAACCTAGATCACCAAAAATTGTCTAAAAACCATTCTTATCTAGCCATATAAAGACAGAAGCATGCACAGACAGATAAGTACATTGCACAGCAACAAGTCAAAAGCATGTTTCCGGCAAGATAGCCTCTCCACATCTGATTTCAAATCAGCCAATCAGGTCTGCAGACGAATATCTTTTTTTTGCACCAGAAACACTACCTCATGAACAAGCCATAGACTAAAGTGATGACTAATTATTACTTATAAAAAATAAAAATAAAAATAAAAAGTGATGACTAATTATGATACTCCAACAGATAACCAAACATTTAATGAATAAATGAGCAAAGAGTTTATATGAATACAATTTGAATTGAACTGAGATATTACCAGTTCGTTAACGTTTGTATCATATTCCCCAGTTGTTCAGGTCTCAGGTCCCTTCCAGCTGCAAACTGCACCTACACCTCAAGAAAACAAATAGATTCCATACGAACTAGAGGGCTCATAACCATACAATATTGGACCACGAAATTGAAAGAAATAGATAAAGCAAGGTGGAGACAATGAGTTCAGACCTCAAAGCATCTTCGAAACTGATCCAGCTTTCCTCTAACTATGCCCTACCAAAAAAAAAAAAAAAGAAGAAGAAGGAGAAGTACAGAAGTCAGCTCAGTTTTATAATGTTTTTGCTGATAAAGGAGCAAGCAAAGTAAACTAATTCCAAAAAATAGAAAATGTGAATCATGGACTAATTACTAATAGATAGGTTTTCTACATTTAATGACTAGACACCCTTAGTTACATTGCAGTAAAAGAAAACATGTACATGGGAGGAGTTTTAATACTACTTTCCTAATTTATTGACAATTATGCAGATTTTTTCTAGCTACTGCACAAGTATTCATCAAATAAATTGGAATACCTACCACATATATGCACTCATTGATAAGAAAATCTTCAAGCTCGCGTACATTTGTAACATCTAATTCCTGCATTAGTACATCATAGGGAAGTACCTGGGGAGAACCCAATAGTTAAAGATTGAGAATATGAAGCAAAAGTCAGAAACATGAATCTAATAACAAATACTTATGGATTGACTGTCGTCAAAAATATTCTTACAAGTTGCATGAGCATCGAATGAAAGAAGAATAACACAAAACCAAGGGCTCTATAACAGGTAACGGATTTGTGAGATGAAATATAACAACTCTAAGTAAATCGGCTGATGAATATAAAACAAATACTGTACTTTAAATGGTGCAGTACACAGTTAAAGGTGTAATATATACTGTATGCAATTTAGAAAAATAATCTTAAAATGATATCATGTATGACCAAAAATGTTCTTATACCAACTGTTGCAGAACGTGAAGGAAAGAAGAAAATGAGAAGCCAGGAGGATAGAACTATGGGATGAGAGACGGATGGAAGAGATTAGACTAGATAAATATAGCAAATGAGGTAGGCAGAAATTCGGAGGAGACGAAAGGAAAGATTTCTGAGAAACCCATATCACGTATGACCGAACATGTTCTTATACCAACTGATATAGAACGTGAAGGAAAGAAGGAAATGAGAAGCCAGGAGGATAGAACGAGGGGATGAGAGACGGATGGAAGGGATGAGACTAGATAGATAGAGCAAATGAGAAAAGCAAAAATACAAAGGAGAAGAAAGGAAAGATTTCTGAGAAACTCACAATAATTATCAATATCAAGGCTAAATATTTTGATTACATAAGAGCCTTTTATTAGACAACATTAGAAACAAACTTTAAGAAACTCCAAAATAATAAAATACAACAATAAATCTAAAAGTTAGACCTTATAAAAAATAATAATAATAATAATCCTAATTTTATCCAATCTCTAATTTTATCTATCCTTGTCTCTTCTCCAAAAGTAGAGGTGAATCACATGCGGCTCATACACAATTGAGTAATGAACAACCCCTGCGGTAGGTCTTGAAGAAAATTTTAAATTTTGTCTTCAACTAGCTTAGAATCCCATACATAATTTCTGGTGTTTCAACAAGTTTTTATATTTTAAACTTTCATCCAACTCCAACTAGGCATGATCAAGATTCTCTAACATGGAAAAATTTAGTTGATCGTTATAGACCAATTGGCTTGGTCACCATGCCAAAAGTAACCACCTTGTTAGTCACATTGTAAAAACAAAACCCAAATCCCAATCAGAAAGAGTAGCATAAAGTTCTTTAAAAACAACTTTTCCATAGGCCTATATTAACCCGAGCAGTACAAAGTCCCACATCACACAATCAGTCAAGCAACTTGACGTATTCAAACAACCTACCGTCATTACTGATTAAAGAACAACTTGAAACACTTGAAGACAAAATACCTTGTTTGTCTCAGCCAGAGTGAGCACAGTAAGTTGTTTTAGCTTGAGGATTTGATCAGGCACTAATTGCAGAAGCTGACCAGCATTACCTAAAAAGCGTCCGTACAAATTTTAGTCACAAAACATCTTTCTCAATTGCACCTCAGTTAACCCACTTTTAGTAGGAAATCAATAACATTTGACTATTACTAAATTAAATATAAAAAAAATAAGTCTAAAATTAACCGTTTACATGTTAAATTCTATATTCATCTTTATAGAAGCAATAAAGCCTATTGTGTACAAAGAATTTAGTTTGCAAAAAATACTCATTGAAAAAATCTTTGTGTGGGTGTGGGTGTGGGTGTGGGTGTATTTTTTTTTCTTTTTTTCTTTTTTTTTTTTTTGCCAAGTAATCCTTGTCTTATTGGATTGCTTTGCAATTCATTGAGTCATACAGCATGAGCCATACAGTGAATCTGATCATAGATCAAATCAGTTGGGTACTCACTAATTTAAAAGATGTTAACGCATGTATGTTCTTTGGAAAGAATTGAAGTAATTAAGAAAATAACTAAAATAATGTAAATGTAGGATGATGTTCCAAAACATTAGGTGGGTTTTGCCCACAGAATATTATCCTTCTCATTTCTCTTTTAAATCGTTGAACTATGAAAAACATGTTCTCTTACAATATTCTTGACAAGTTTCTGTACCAGAAACTTAGTAAATTCCACTCTAAGTACTAGCATCAATACCTTAAGTTGCAATGACAGTGGCAACCGGTATTATACAAGTAAAAGACACAAGGGACAGTAAAACATCACTTCAACACCACAGTATTGCAAGGGACCTATTGTCTTATGTTCCATTTGTTAAAGGCAAGTGAATTATGCAGTATATGAGAGGCAAAAGAGAGACAACTCTCTTGGAAATGGGATAGCAAAGCGTGGGATGCAACCCCCACACTAAAGTGGTGCATTTGGATTGAAACACTGCAACCGATAACCATGACACAATTACAATCCCAACTAAGAGTCTATTGCCAATGAAAATAGTTAAAATAAATAATTAAACAGCATATTGAAGAATGTAGAGTCTATTGCCTGACCTTTATGTTGAAAAACTATTATGCATGAAATAAATGTAGAGAGATTAGAATCAAAAAGAATAATACAACAGTCAGATGCATGATTAACAAATAGAATACATCAAAGAGCATATTGAATAATAGATATAAATTATATATGCATGTATATGTGTGGGTGTGTTATAACAAACTCTTTAATGCTTACTCTTGTAATCACTCCATGTACCATGGGCAAACAAACGAAGAAGATCAAGGTATACAGAATTCTCAGTTCCCTGAAGCTGCATTTAAATTCACTAGTCAAACCATAAATTAGGCAGACATGTCAAATGAAATTAAAACTTGTTCAAGTATTATGCAGAACAACCAATGTCGAGAAATCAAAATTACTCTCTGTTCCATTACCAAAATTGTGTGTACGAGATTCATACTATGAGTAATTAAATACAAATTTGGTAAACAAATCAAAGAATACTAGGTTCTTCTTTTCTGGGAGTTCACTCAATTAAAGCAAAACAAAACACACGGGTTTGTAATTGTAAGTGTGTGTGTGTGAATAAACGATGAACAACATTTGAGACCTCGAGAATGTTGGGAACGGCAATAATCTCCGAGAAGGCGAAGAGAGAAGGATGCGAAGTGGCTTCAACGACGACGTTGGCAAGAGACGAGCCCCTGTGGTTCGAGGCTTGCTTGACAAAGTACTCGATGTGCTCTGCTTGGTTCTGTTCAATTTCCATCTTCAAATAAACCCACAAAAAGTGAAAAAAAGGAAAATAGAAAACAAATGATAAATTAGGTATGAAAAGGGTTCGAAAACATTGGGTAGAGAGAGAGAGAATGATACAGTTTGGATTTGATTCGTAGAGAGAGAAACAGATTAAAACTGAGAGAATAATGTGTATTTTTCAGTCCTGACTTGAGCCTTTTGTTGTCTGGTTCACTGCTTCGCCGTATAGGTGTGTGTGGGAGTGGCATTTGCTAACTTGAGCCGGAGGTTTGTTAAGTCCCTCCTGATCAGACGGATCGACGAAATGTACCACTTTACCAGCAGTAAACCCGGGATCGTAACAATTCACGCGATGATGGGTCTTTTTTTGGGATTAGTGTGCACAGAGAGAGAGAGAGCGGTGAAAACAAACATCGCGTCGGGGTCATAATTTAAGTCCAAAGTTATTAAACAGTGCATTAAAATTAAATTATTTTAATATTTAAATTTAAATAAGTGAGTTAATAATGGATTCCCATTTTAATTCGTTAAAACAAAACTCTATTTTCTCTATTTATTCTCTCTCTTCCCCCTCCTCAGATTTCTCCTCTTTTTTTCCTTTTCATTTTTTTTCACCCTTTCTTTTTCTATCTACTCGACATTCTCTCTTTCCCCCCTTTTTTTTCTCTCTCCTTCGTCTCTCTCTTCTCCCTTTTCTTTCTCTCTACCCACTCCTCTATGCCTTTTTTTTTTTTTTTTTGTAACTCTCTCCAACTCACTCTTCCTTCAACTTGTTGTTTATTGTATAAAAATAAATGACCAACAATTAAATAAAACTCATGCTCAAAACTCTTTTTTCTATATATATATAATCAATATTGTTGAGTAAGTTGTATAATAAATTTTTCCAAAATAAAAAAGAAATTTTTTTTTGTAACGCGTCAAATCTAAAAATTTATGTAAGAACAAATTTATTCCTATTATTTTTTATTATTCAACGATCAAAATACCTTAAACAATTTGACTCAATATAAATAGACTAATAATGATTAACTCATTACTGACTTTTCCATTCATTATCAACCCATATCCGGTCCAAACCCACCCAATTACCATCCCTATATTGAAGTATACTCCGAAAAGATTATAATTCCACAGTGACAAAGGATTTGGTATTCCGGTAGCGTGGAGGATGTAATATCCTACTAACAATGGTTAATTGTTATTTTGGATTCTTTGTATTCAATGTTTTTCTGCTTTTTAAAATTTTTTTAGATGGGCTTACTAGCGTCATGTAACACATGGAAATTTGAGTGTTTAATCGACACATTCCCTTTAGTTATACTTATATATAAATTATGATTAATAATGAGCTTGCATATCTGTATAAGTAATTTCCTTTTTAAAACAATTTACTATATATTTATATCTATACTATTATTAAATGTGTAAAGTGTTTCAGTGTTTAAAATTAATTCAAATTAACAAAATATAAAAAGAGTTTAATTCAAATTATAAAAACCCACATTGGTTTTAAGTAAAAATGATATAAAAAGAGTTTAATTCAAATTACAAAGTCCCACATTAATTTTAAGTAAAAAAGATTACATGAAAGCTTCTTATAAAATTATAGAACTAAAGAAATAATAATCACACCTTCTCGCCCTTTTGGTTAAGATCAAGTGTAATACTAAATATTTTTAGGTCGGTCTTTTGACTAACCTTTCTTGATCTTTTATCAAGTATAGTACTATTTTCTCAGTCTTTGTGCAAAGAGTTTTATTATTTATTTATTAATTGATATAAATTCTATAAAACTCAAAATTACCTAATAAAATTAAAATTAAAAAAATATAAAAAAGTTTAATTCACAATAAAGAGCTCTCATTAATTATTATATCACACTATATAAATTCTATATGTATATTTATACTATTATTAAATGTGCAGAGTATTCATTATTTTTTTATTAATTGATATAAATTCTATAAAACTCAAAATTACCTAATAAAATTAAAATTAATTCAAATTAACAAAATATAAAAAGAGTTTAATTCAAATTACAAAGTCCCACATTGGTTTTAAATAAAAAAGATTACATGAAAGCCTCTTATAAAACTATAGAACTAAAGAAATAATAATCACACCTTCTCGGACTTTTGGCTAAGATCAAGTGTAGTATTAAATTTTTTTGGGTTAGCCTTTTGCTAACCTTTCTTGGTCTTTTGGCTAAAATTAAGTGGAGTACTACTTTCTCGGTTTTTGTATAAAGAGTTTCAGTATTTATTTATTAATTGATATAAATTCTATAAAACTCAAAATTACCTAATAAAATTAAAATTAATTCAAATTAACAAAATATAAAAAGAGTTTAATTCAAATTACAAAGTCCCACATTGGTTTTAAATAAAAAAGATTACATTAAAGTCTCTTATAAAACTATAGAACTAAAGAAATAATAATCACACCTTCTCGGCCTTTTGGCTAAGATCAAGTGTAGTATTAAATTTTTTTTGGTTGGCCTTTTGCTAACCTTTCTTGGTCTTTTGGCTAAAATTAAGTGGAGTACTACTTTCTCGGTCTTTGTATAAAGAGTTTCAGTATTTATTTATTAATTGATATAAATTCTATAAAACTCAAAATTACCTAATAAAATTAAAATTAATTCAAATTAACAAGATATAAAAAGAATTTAATTCAAATTACAAAGTCCCACATTGATTTTAATTAAAAATGATTACATGAAAGCCACTTATAAAACCATAGAGTTAAATAAATAATAATTACAACTTCTCGGCCTTTTGGCTAAGATCAAGTGTAGTAATAAATTTTTTTGGGTCGGCCTTTTGGGTAACCTTTCTTCTTTTGGCTAAAATCAAGTGTAGTACTATTTTCTAGCCTTTGTGTAAAGAGTTTCAGTATTTATTTATTAATTGATACAAATTCTATAAAACTCAAAATTACCTAATAAAATTCAAATTAATTAAAATTAACAAAATATAAAAGAGTTTAATTCATAATAAAGAGCTCTCATTATTTATTATATCACACGATATAAATTCTATATCCATATCTATACTATTATTAGATGTGCAAAGTATTTCAATATTTATTTATTAATTGATATAAATTATATAAAACTCAAAATTACGTAATAAAATTAAAATTAACAAAATATAAAAAGAGTTTAATTCAAATTACAAAGTCCCACATTGGTTTTAAGTAAAAAGGATTGCATGAAAGTTTCTTATAAAACTATACAGCTAAAGAAATAATAATCACACATTCTCGACCTTTTGGCTGGGATCAAGTGTAGTACTAAATTTTTTTGGGTTGGCCTCTTGGCTAACATTTCTTGGTCTTTTGGCAAAGATTAAGTGTAATACTACTTTCTCGACCTTTGTGCAAAGAGTTTCAATATTTATTTATTAATTGATATAAATTCCATAAAACTCAAAATTACCTAATAAAATTTAAATTAATTCAGAGTTTAATTCACAATAAAGAGCTCTCATTAATTATTACATCCCACAATATAAATTCTATAAAACTTAAAATTACCTAATAAAATTTAAATTCATTCAAATTAACAAAATAAGTTTTTATTTATTAATTGATATAAATTCTATAAAACTCAAAATTACCTAATAAAAATAAAATTAATTTAAATTAACAAAATATAAAAAAGAGTTTAATTCAAATTACAAAGTTCCACATTGGTTTTAAGTAAAAATGATTACATGAAAGCCTCTTATAAAAGTTTCAGTGTTTTAATATTTCAGTATTTATCTATTAATTGATATAAATTCTATAAAATTCAAAATTACCTAATAAAATTAAAATTAATTTAGATTAACAAAATATAAAAAGAGTTTAATTAAAATTAAAAAGTCCCACATTGATTTTAAGTAAAAATGATTACATGAAAGCCAAATAAAACTATAGAGGTAAATAAATAATAATCACACCTTTTCAGCCTTTTGGCTAAGATCAAGTGTAGTACTAAATTTTTTTGGGTCGGTCTTTTGGCTAACCTTTTTTGGTCTTTTGGCTAAGATCAAGTATAGTACTACTTTCTCGGCCTTTGTGCAAAGAATTTCAGTGTTTATTTATTAATTGATATAAATTCTATAAAACTCAAAATTACATAATAAAATTCAAATTAACAAAATATAAAAGAGTTTAATTCACGATAAAGAGCTCTTATTAGTTATTATATCACACGATATAAATTCTATAAAACTCAAAATTACCTAATAAAATTAAAATTAATTCAAATTAACAAAATATAAAAAGAGTTTAATTCAAATTACAAAGTCTCACATTGGTTTTAAGTAAAAAGGATTACATGAAGGCCTCTTATAAAACTATAGAGCTAAAAAAATAATAATCACACATTCTTGGTCTTTTGGCTAAGATCAAGTGTAGTACTAAATTTTTTTGGATTGACCTTTTGGCTAACATTTCTTGGTCTTTTGGCTAATATTAAGTATAGTACTACTTTCTCGACCTTTGTGCAAAGAGTTTTAGTATTTATTTATTAATTGATATAAATTCTTTTATTTATTAATTTATATAAATTCTATAAAATTCAAAATTACTTAATAAAATTCAAATTAATTCAAATTAACAAAAGATAAAAGAGTTTAATTCACAAAAAAGAGCTCTCATTAATTATTATATCCCACGACATAAATTATATAAAACTCAAAATTACATAATAAAATTAAATTAATTCAAATTAACAAAATAAGTATTTATTTATTAATTAATATAAATTCTATAAAACTCAAAATTACCTAATAAAATTAAAATTAATTCAAATTAACAAAATATAAAAAGAGTTTAATTCAAATTACAAAGTCCCCATTGGTTTTAAGTAAAAATGATTACGTGAAAACATTTTATAAAACTATAGAGCTGAAGAAATAATAATCACACATTCTCGGCCTTTTGGCTAAAATCAAGTGTATTACTAATTTTTTTTGGATCGGCTTTTGGCTAACCTTTTTTGGTCTTTTAGCTAAGATCAAGTGTAGTACTACTTTCTCGGTCTTTGTGCAAAGAGTTTCAGTATTTATTTATTAATTAATATAAATACTATAAAACTCAAAATTAATATAAAAGAGTTTAATTCACAATAAATAGCTCTATTTAATTATTATATCCCACGATAAAAATTCTATAAAAGTCAAAATTACCTAATAAAATTAAAATTAATTCAAATTAACAAAATATAAAAAGAGTTTAATTCAAATTACAAAGTCCCACATT